TTGTCTAATGTCTGTCAAGATTCGATAAACTTTTTTAGTTATTTCCGAATTTTCACTGCACATTACAGTCTCAGGATTTCTACGGGCTTGAAAATCTTTAATCTGTTTACAGAATTACCATTACATAAGTTATTATAACTGCCTTATAAACCGTGTGTTGGAATTCAGAAATCCATTTTCTGAAACTCTTGAAAGGCTTTAGATAGTAACGAATCAGCAACCTTATCGACTTTCCACATGTATCTTTCTATTACAGTCAATGATACAAAAAGAACTGAATGAAAGTCAGATCTAAACCATTCAAACAATAAACAGTATCTTTTTTCTTAATGAATATTTCTAAACTCTAGTTGTAAAATTTGAAGGACAAATCCGTCGAAACTTTCATTTTAAATATTTCTTTTTCAAGAAAGTCTTTTTATTCTTTGAAAATTATTGAAGATTTATGTTTTGAATACCACAGTGAAAACACTTTTAAATACTGAGAAGATATCATTGTAAAACTTTAACTATTGTCCATTTCAAAGTAAAGTGGACGTGAACATTTTTTAAAATAACTTTAAATAAAACAACAAGAGAGAAATAACTCAAGTTTTTAGCACTATCTACAGTTGACATTGCTCTATCTTTCTACAAAGTCGATGGAAACTTCCAGTCACTTTTCTTCTTGAATATATCATAAACTTTGAAAATGAGCTTAATCTATCGTAAAAACAATGTATGTGTTCTCAACCATAATATAATGGAAAGATAGCCCAGCTTCTCCTCTATCGATCCATGCAAGATCGAGATTGATACAGTGCGGCGCCAAAAAAGCATGTACATTTTTGTTTTTACGCATGAACGAATAATAAGGATACTCTGAAAATTTTCTCTCATATCAGACTTTGTAGAGCTTTTTCCGCTGATCATTTTGGTAAAAAAAATTTTTTGATTTTCATTGAGTAATGATGATGTTATAGTCAAAATACTAAACATTGTAATATAAAGTAGGGAAAAAAGTTTAACACACTTTTAGTATTTGGCTAATTTTTACGTTATTTCACAACATCTGATAGATGTTCTATATACCATTCGATGCAGAATTTAATGAGCTACATTTTGTTAACAAGCACTTATATTTTTATTTTAGTTAATTAATTAATTATTAGTTAATAATAATTAGCAATTAATTAATAAAATTTTGATTTGTTTTTAAATTCTGACTCTTTCAAATGAAAGAGCATTAAAAACTGAACAAAACTCTATAATTACTATTTGAGAAACAACGAATTTACTAAGGTTTTAATGTGATTTTCAGAGTATGCCTAAATGTAAAAATTAAAAATATCTATGCTTGTTTGGATCTTCACTATATGTCATTCTAAAGAGCAAATGATGTTCTTTAAAATGCGCCAGTTTTCGCGTATCTCATGTGTCGTTTTATGGTTGAATTTATTAAAAATAATGAATACAATATCTAATTACAATTGAACATACTCGAAAAATCACATTAAAACTTCACTAAATTCGTTGTTTCTCAAATAGTAATTATAGAGTTTTGTTCAGTTTTTAATGCTCTTTCATTTGAAAGAGTCAGAATTTTATTAATTAATTGCTAATTATTATTAACTAATAATTAATTAATTAACTAAAATAAAAATATAAGTGCTTGTTACCAAAATATAGCCCATTAAATTCTGCATCGAATGGTATATAGAACATCTATCAGATGTTATGAAATAACGTAAAAATTAGCCAAATACTAAAAGTGTGTTAAACATTTTTCCCTACTTTATATTACAATGTTTAGTATTTTGACTATAACATCATCATTACTCAATGAAAATCAAAAACGTTTTTTACCAAAATGATCAGCGGAAAAAGCTCTACAAAGTCTGATATGAGAGAAAATTTTCAGAGTATCCTTATTATTCGTTCATGCGTAAAAACAAAAATGTACACGCTTTTTTGGCGCCGCACTGTAACTGTTTGTATTCAAAAAATATAAAGATTGTATTGAAGACAACTTACCAAAGGTCTTCAAAATTGGTACAAGAATAGATATACATCTTGGGTCCGAGAGAAACAACCAATTACATCAGTCATATCGAAAACAATATGAGACAACATTTATGTTGAAGAAATTGAAGAAGAACTAGATAATCATGATGACGATGATTATAGTTCTTATAGTGCAGATGATGCTGATGACTAACGACTTTTTATGATGAGTCTACGTAAATATCTTCGAATCTCTTTTTAGTTAATCAATTTAGATTCTTAAAATTTTTGTTATAGAAAACATCAATAAAATAAAGGCTCGAGAGAATTTTCCAAAAATATCGATTCAATATTCAATGTATGATTTTCGATGACGTTCTTAGTAGAAAAAAAAAACTCCAAAAATTAATAAATCATGTCACGAAGTTGAAGGCGACTAAGAACTTACAGAAGAAAATATTTAGTTATCTGCTTAGATTTTGAAGACTTTCGGTAAGTAGCCTTCAATACAATGCTTATATTTTTTTGAACATAAACGGTTATCGATCTCTACCTTGCATAGATCGATAGAGGAGAAGCTGGACTATCTTCCCATTATATTATAGTTTAGAATGCATATATTGTTTTTACGATAGATTAAGCTCATTTTCAAACTTCATGATATATCTAAGAGGAAGAAAAGTAACTAGAATTTTTCATTGACTTCGTAGAAAGACAGAGCAATATCAACTGTAGGTAGTACTAAAAACCTGAGTTATTTCTCTCTTGTTTTTTTAAAGTTATTCAAAAAATGCTCATGTCCACTTTAGACCCCGAACAGACTGAAAAAAATAAAACGAATTACGTAACGTGATTGGTCTATTTCGATTTAAATCGTCTTTTTGAGATGATTTATTCGTTAATTCAGTTTTAATTCACTTTGAATGAGTCAGTCTGTTCAGGACCTTAGTCTGAAATGGACAATACTTGGTATACAACATACGCTTATATAGGATAGAGTAAGTGAGAGAGAGAGAGAGAGGGAGAGAGAGAGAGAGAAATGAGTACAAATTATACTAATTCTATTTGATCTATATTAAATCCTATTTTTAAAAAAAACTTTGTAATTTTGACATATGAAGATAAATTTTATCTTTATAGATGTCACTCATGATTAGTTTTATCTTGGTGTGTAGAAAAATACCACTAATGATTGGTTATATCTATTTATTTGCTTGATTGTTTTTTTTTTCTTCTCTCTTTGTTCATCTGAAATATATTCGTTCAAAATTTACAATGAATTTAATTTAATTTAATTTTTTTATTTCATAGATAAATATGTCTACAATAACAAACGCAATAAATAATTCCACACAATTAGTTCGTACTAATTGGACAGATATTAATTCAATAACATCATCTCCAACAAATTCCAATTCTAGTATAATTAATACTTCTGTAATTCCATCATCTATATCAAATCAAAATAATAGTATAAATTCTATAATTAAATCTCCAATATCAATTCATAATAATGATCAAACAACTCAATCAATGACATTAGAACGAACAATTCAAACATATCCATTAACTAATTATACATTTGGTACAAAAGATCCATTATATGAACGTGATAGTTCTGTACAAGCACGATTTCAACGTATGCGTGAAGAATTTACAACAATGGGCATGAGACGTAGTGTTGAAGCTGCTTTATTAGTACATGAACATAATTTACCTCATATACTTCTTCTACAATTAGGAACAACATTTTTTAAATTACCTGGTAAAATAAAACAAAAAGAATACATTCAAATAAGAATTATTTTTGTTTTAGGTGGTGAACTTAATCCAGGTGAAGATTCAATGGAAGGTCTTAAACGTTTATTAAATGAAACATTAGGTCGACCAGATGCTATGCAACAAAATAATTGGCTTATCGAAGATGTTATTGGTAATTGGTGGCGTCCAAATTTCGAAGCACCACGTTATCCATATGTTCCTGCTCATATAACAAAACCAAAAGAACATATTCGGTAAAGGAAATAAAACAAAAAAAAGTTTCGATTTACGTGACAGATATAATTGAATTCTATTGTAAGAAAGATGAACCTGACACAAGGAATAAATTAGATAAATACAAGAAAATAATTTTATTTGAATAAATCTACATTCACATGAAAAAAAAAATTTGAACAAAGTTCTTATTCATTTAAAGTATAAGTCTCTTGTTATCAAATGAAGAGCCGAAATTAGAATGTGAATGTCGTAAGACTTTCCCACCCCTAAAATGTTCGACTTTCTACAACTTCGTGATAACTTTGAACAGCAATCGGATTTTGAAACATGACTTACTTTTCTCTGGTAGAAAGTGAAATAAAAATCAACAGACAATGTCATTGCGAGGTGCAATCACCACTTCGAGATTGCAACTAGGATCTGGATGTAAACCTCCTATTAACCCACAACTAATATTGACTTCATATCTTGTTTCATTAATTGACGAAAGCTCATCTATGAAATCGAAATGATCATCAGTATACTTATCTTTCATTCTTTCTCAGATTGAATTACTTTTTTATTTTATCATATAACTTATGAGAAATTCTGTTAACATAATTTCTTTTTAATTTAGTTTATATCTTGTTCAACTTGGTGAATCATCTATGTTTGCTGTACCACGTAATTATAAATTAGTAGCTGCACCTTTATTTGAATTATATGATAATGCCTCAGGTTATGGACCAATTATCTCAAGTTTACCACAAGCATTGAGTCGATTTAATTTTATTTATAATTAAAATTTGATATTAGAATAAGAAAAGAAATGAAGTTTTTTGGGTGTTGTTTTTTTGTGTTTCATTGTTCTAGTCGAAAATAAAAGTTTGCAAACACCGTATTGTATATATGTGTGTTTATGTCGATATGTATCAAATATGAAAACAAAAAGAAAATATTTTTTGAATTATTTTTTTTTTCTGCTATTTGACAATGTTGAAAACGAAATTATATAAGTGTGATAAAAGAAAATAACAATATCAAGGTTCGACAAGTTCATCATTAACGTCTTCTTCTTTGTCATCATCATTATCATCGTTATCTTCATTATCTTTTTCTTGTAAAAGTTCAATTGAAGGTTTAATTGATTTTTTTTCATTTGTACTTAAAACACCACGATGTTGTTTACGAATAGATTTTAATTTATATTCAATTCTTTCATCATCATCATCATCATTATTATTATCATTTTCAGTCTTTGTTCCAGTTGTATTTGAAGATAATGGTAAACGTATAGATATAGAATGATCATGATCATTATCATCATCGTCATCATTTTTTAGAATTTGTTTTTTTATTGGACGTTGAAATATTGGTTTTGATGGAATTTCTTCTTCAATTTCGTTTGTTTTTAAAGGTTTAACACGTGTACGAAGAAAATCATTTAATGCATGTTGATTACCCATATTACTTAAATGATGTTCATTAACATCATCTAAATCATATTTTTTCCATTTATTCATTGGACGAGTAAATGTTGTATCATCAGCGGGACGTTTTTTAAATGTAATTGCATGACTTGGAATATTTGGATTTTTATAAGTTGATGATGATGGTATTTCATCATCAGGTACAGATATAGGAGTATTAGTTTTCGAATGTACATCATGTTGTTTTTCGAGATTTGATAATTTATCAAATATATCATTTGAACGTGATTTAAAATCAGATGTTGAAGTAGTCAGCTGATAAAAATCTAATGTAGATAAATAAATGAGAAAAAAAAATGATGTCGAATAACAATGAAGATTATCAGGGGCGGCGCGAAGGGCTCAGAGCAGGGGGGGAGTATTGTGGAAAATGGGAGAAAATAGAAAAAAGTCTCTAAATTGTAAGTACCTAGTACCTTTTTTTTACTAGTGTTTTTGAAAGCAAGTAGATAGGTAGATTCTTCTGTTAGCAATTACAAAAAATGGAGAACATTGTAATAAAGGTTCTTCAGAACCGGAAGAAGTTCAAAATATATCTTCTCGGAAGTTGAAAAATTTTTCAGACTTTTTCTGCAAAATTGGAGAAATTTTGAGACATTTTTTCCAAAATTGAAGAAATTTTGGGACATTCTCTCATTAACTGGAGAAATTTTAAGACATTTTCTCTCAAATCGGAGAAGTTTTTGGAACATATTCTCACCAACTCGAGAAATTTTCTGCAAAATTCAAGAAATTTTGAGATATCCTCTCACCAACTAGAGAATTTTTAAGATATTTTCTGCCAAATTGAAGAAATTTTGAGACATTTTCTCCAAAATTAGAGCAATTTTGGGACATTTTCTCATTGACTGGAGAAATTTTAAGACATTTTCTACCAAAATGGAGTAATTTTGGGGCAGTTTTTCTCAAAATCGGAGAAAGCTGCAGTCGAACTTTCCAAAGCAGGAGAGGGTACCCTCCCCCCCCCCCCCCCCCCCCGCTCGCGCCGCCCCTGAAGATTATGATTCTCATTCGTTATCGATTTTGAATGGATTTTCAATTTACTAAATATATACATTGCATAGAAATCCATTAGATCAGAACTCATCAGTTCTTATCAAGTTAGAGAAAGTATTATTATTAAGAAAGTGGCTATCAATCGATTGAATATAAAAGAAAAAATAAAATTCTAATTAATATAAGCAGTATTGAAATTTAATAATAACGAATTATTTGTCAATAATGAAAAAAGTCAAATTCAAATTTACTGCTCATCTAAATAAAAATCGAAACTATCTTAAAGATATTCGGTTTTTTTAATATCGTGAAATAAATTCATTAATTCTTCAAAATTAAATAATGATAAAATCGATTCTTTACATATAATGAGTCTCATCTATTGCAAACAAAAAAAAAATCAATTCTTATCGTATTTCTTTTTCAGATAGTTTACAACATAGTCTTAAAAGAAAAAGAATACCTGACATTTTTGTATGCTTTTTTTTTCCTTCTTGACAATAATCTACAAATATGAAATAATCTATTTTCTGTTTAAATAAAACATAAAAAGAAAAACTTTAGATTGTTTTTTCTACTTTATTTAAACAAACAAAGATTAATGGCATAGTCCATTTTAAACTACGTGATTATCAAAAGAAAAAAGAATACAGGATGCATCAAAGCAAAGGACAAGGAAATGGATTTTATAGGATAATTAATTGTCTATTGTTCTTCATCGCCACCTTCTCCAGGTGGTTTTTCATCAGCAAATTGACTGGGTATTTTTCGAGCACAACGATCATATTCCCAATTAGCCCATGTATACATTGAATATCCGAGTAACATATTAGGTACCCATATGGTAATAATTGTTTTTAAAAGTCGAGAATAATAACGATATGATACATCACCCAAAACACCAGCATATGGATTTTGTTCATATGCTGAAAGTGTATATTCGACCTGAATATAAAATTTAAGCAAAAAAAAAACATTACTTAAAATATAAAGCATTTACTTTGCCACGTTGATGACCAATTCTACCCCATTCCATACCTAATCGGCGTAATGAGAAACGCATTTTCTCACTATGTATTAAAAATAAAAATCTACAATCGTTTTTATTATAACTGTTTAATCTGAGAAAACAAAATAAATAAGACAATATTATGCCGTTAGATTATTATTAAAAATAAACTAGTTGTGATTTGCATAGATTGATCGACCAATCAGGAAAAAAAGAATGATTATCAGAGTTCGCTCTATGTCGATAGATGGAGGATATTTCATTTATTAATACTTTTTTAAAGAATAGATGATCATCAAACGATTTCAGAACACAAAATAATCATTTATAAAGCAAATTTTCGATTGATTTGATAAACTGTTTGTACTACACAATATTATTTTTTTCTTCAACTATGCACAAACGTCAAATATTCACAATGAATTGTAGCCGGTTTCAAATGTTCATTTCTTAGATTGTGCAAAATCTTCCAAAAAAATTGATAAAATTAAATCTTGACTATTTAAAAACTTCTTTAACATCCAAATCAAAGTAACTGTCAGTAGTATATGATTGTATAGAAGGTATTTTTTTTTTGGCAAAGTTGAAATAAAGTATTATCTAGATATGTGCGCAATTAAGTTACGACTATGAGAAAAAAAGTTGTCGAGAATGGAAAACTAAAGATTCTAGTTAAATATTCTATAATTTTGAATGAATTATTTTATAAATCACACCAATCAAAACAAATGTGACATTCATCAACTGAAAAAAAAATCAAAAAATGAATATTTAAGAATTCTTTTAGAATAAATACAAATAAATTTTAAATTAGTTTCTCTAAGTCGGGATTGGAACTGAAAAAAATCCAGCAAATCTCTAATGTTATTATACATACCGTCATTTCATAATGAACAAGAGTCTTAAAACTGTTAGCGTCCAACATAAGATATAATCCTTTCTATAACTATCTAGGTTGACAAATATGTAGTTCATATATACTTGTAAATAACCGTATTATACGGCTCAGTATTATGATCGTATATCTCTATGACCACATACGTAACAATATGATTATATACGGAGAAAAACAATGCAAAATTGAAATCGGTATACAGCTTTCGTATACCAAGGGAGCAAATTCAGTATTTCTCCATATACGACACGGAAATATGCGATCACTAGACTTCGCCGTGTTATATCTTTATATGCGGTCGCTAACAGCCGTATCTGTTTGACCTGACTGCTGACAAATGTGCTGTATCTGTTATAGAAAAAACATATGAACTCTACACGAACTATTGAAACAACAAAATACTAAACCTTTAGGACTTAGTAGACATGGACAAGATCGGATATTATTACTGTGTACACTATGTAGTCATGATGTAAAAGCAATGGAGAGCAACTATACACAAAACTACATTGACTTTGTTTAAGCTGAAAAAAAAGGGCATTGATTTAGCTATATAACAGTTCAAAACAAAAACATTTACATATGCTATACATTAGCATAAGAAGAAACAATAATTGCGAGTGTGTACCTTTCAAATTGATACTTTTATAATACAGAACTAACTAAAACCTACTACAAAGTCTTAGCATGTATCTTGAACGTAACCTAGCTCAAATATTTGCTGTACTATGAGATTAGTTTTTCATGAATTAACCTAAACATATTTTAATATTTCGAATTGAAATAAAACTTTCAATTTTCAAACAAAAAATCCTTTATTGATCATAACAAATAATGAAATAATATTAACAAGTCAATGTTCACTGAAACGACGATGAGATTGCGTAATTGTCGAAGAAACATGAAATATTTCTTTAAAAAAAAAAAAAAAAAACAAGTCATCGTAAATGTTCTATTGATGTTGAATAGTTCTTAATTTGAAAAAATTTTTCATTTAATCTTATGAAACTAAATTCAAATGCTTGATGTGGATTGTATAAATTAACTTCTTTATGAAATATAACAAAATGATTTTTATGAAATAAATCAAATAGATGATGGATTTTTTCAAAATCATATACTGGTGTATTGTTCACCTGTCGAATTATTGTTGATAGATGTATTTCAACAAGTATCTGTCGTATATTTTGACTTAAATGATCACTTGTATTAAATAGATTATCAAAGAATTCATATTCACTACCTTCAACATCAATTTTAAGTATATCAATATGACGTTGAGAATGATTTAATTCAGACATAATCATTCGTAATGTTTTTGTTCCATCAAATCCACTACCTATATTAACTTTATGAAATGTACACATATCTGTACAATTAAATTCTTTCATATCAAATGTATGTATATCACAATTTGGTAAATAATGTTTTATTTCATTTTCAAAACTAAATTCACCATTTGAACCAAGACTATAAATTAAACAAGATTTTAATTGTTTTAAACGATAAACATCACATATCCATTTTCCTCCATCACCATTTATTCCTAAACGTTGTTCAAATTGACAAGAAAATGTTGGTTCATAATTATCTTGAAAAAACATATATGTTGAATTTAAATATCGATTACGATTATGTTGAAGATAAAATAATTTTTTTCGACGATACCAATCATTATCAATTTCACAAAAAAAATCATCACTTTCAATATGTGATAATTTACAATCATAAATATTAATTATATTTGAAAATGTTCGTTGAATATTACAGAATAAAAATAAAAGAATAAAAATTGAAAATAATAGAATAATAAAACATAATGTTCTATTCCATTTAATCATTTGAATACTTTTTAAAAACTTTTTATTATATGTCAATGAAATGGGCAAAAGAAAGATATCATTATTTGTCTTTTATTACATTTTGTTCTTATCTTTTACTACATGTAAAAAGTGCTTTTGTCAATAAATATATTCATTCTGACGCATCAATAGCGATCAAACGTATTCTAAATTTTTTATATGTTTTTAAATATATCTGTACATGCATCTTTTCTATCATCATTTTTATTACTTTCATACAATGGTAAAGCAGAATAGGTTACTAAAGGCAAGTTTCAATCAGCGGTTTAAAGAAAAATTCGAAGATAGCCAAATACAAAATTCTACAAGCGAAGTTTCAAAAATTACCTTCTGACAATAGTAATTGTGTACCAGTCACGATCCAACAAGTTATACTAAGAAGAAATTGTATAAAATCCAATCTATTTTTCTTATAGTAGAACTCTAACAGGCTATCAATACAATGAACAATTTACAGATTATAAATTAATTGAACACTTAATTTTAGAATGAATCCAAGTCGGACACTGCTGATCAATTCGGATAGCTTTTGAAGAATTTTTTCATCAGCATAAATGTCCATGATAGTTATGAATTTAGGACTCTTGTCCCATAAAAAAATCAATTTTGAGATTTTTATATGATTGAATAACCCTCAGTTGTCTATTTTTGAAAACAGTATTATTTACTGAAATTCTGATGCTTTGTCACAGTTTTATACACAATTTACTGATAATACTGGATTCAGGAAAACTGATTTTTTCGAAAAATGTTAGTTATTATTTCCTTTTGAACTTTTTCTAAAGTTCCTCATAGCACAGAATCTAGCAAGAATATGTGAAATAGCAAGCGTTGAAAATCTTCGAACAAGTGGACTTGTACCGTTTATTTCTTTTCCTACTAGAGTCCATTTAGTTACATTATTATTTTGACAGTGTTACATCAGAAGAGATGCCATCTGATATACGTAGGCGATTTCTTCTCTCTCTTCGATTTCATTCTTTCACATTTATAATTGTTTCTTTCTTATTCTAATTTTTTGTCTATTTAAACAGCTGGTATTGTTCGCGTGAATGTAGATATGAATATGAATGTGTAGGGTTGATTGTGAATGAGTGCCTACGCCTCGTACGTTTTCTTTCTGTTCTAGATTCAAATGTTTAGACTTTCTACCAGTACATGCAAGTCTTCGTTTAATCCGCCATTGTCAATAATATATAGGTGACTATAATCGATATGTTTCATCTATTGTTTTACTGAACGGAAACATTGATTTTCATTTGCAAATTTTGTTCATACATTTTTCTCAGATTTTTCAACCATTTTACATATTAGGAAGTCCGGAAAAGTTTTAAATTGAAGAGAAAATTATGCTTCACAAATTAACAGAACCGTTTCTGTTTTATTTTAATACTTAGTCATTGAGGACAGTGTTGGTTACATTTTGACGCCAACCCAAGATCTATATCATTAGATTTCTGGGAGAAATCTGGAACACACGGAGATCTACTTTTTGACCGTTAATATAAAAATAACTCTTGAAGAATTCAATATTTTGGACTGACATATTTACCGTAACTTTTCAAGATCCTGACCCATATTTTCTAAAATTTTTAGCTAGATCAATTGTTTTGTGATGAAAATAGATTTTCACAGGGGCGGATGGGTGCTTAAAATAAAAGTACCATACAATTTTCCAGTAGTATATTTATTAGTGATTCGACA